TAAGACGTTAAGGAAGCCGTACGACTTTACGAAATCGAATTTGAGCGAATAGAACTTCCGAAACTGATCTTAGCGTGAACGGGTAGTTTCTGAGTGTCATGGGTTGAAGGTGTGTTGTGCAATGGGGGTTTGAAACTCAACTTTCGACTCTCTATCTCTGTGTAAGCCGCTGTGGCAGAATTATTCCCGCCAGGGCGGGGCCGTAGTGGCGGGATGAGGGTCGCCATAGCGGGTCAGTCGCGACTTAAGTCGGAAATAAATCCCAAAAAAGGTTATTTTCTGCAAGTTTCATTCTTGAGAGCTAGGAGACAACCTCAGGAGATTTCTTGACAGTTTTCCACTATTTTTTGTGCTAAAGGTAAGGATTTTACTCCCCTAATCCGTTTTTCGATCCGTAGAGCTTAGAATCTTGATTATATATTGTTGGGGGAGGAATTTTGAACCGAATTGGATGGTGGGGAAAAGCCCTAGCTGCACCTTAGGATCATGGGTTGGTCTTGGGTTAATTGGATTTGTTATAATCTGGGTAAATTAGACCTTAATTATTGATCCTCGCATTGAATTGATTGTTTGTAGACCTAGAACAAACGGAAAGAATCTGGAAAGGGAAGAATCACGCATCTTAGGAGGATTCAAGCTTGGTTTTGAGGTAGGTGATGACTTGATTTCATGTTTGTGTGATGTATGTTAGTATTTGCTTCATTGTAATGCATGTATGTATGTGAATGTTGCACTATTGATCACACCTAATGCAAATGAGTATGAATGAATGTTTGTAAGTCATGAATCAACACTTGATGGTATGATTTTGAGAATGTATATTGTGATTGTGATTGTGGCATGTTGAATGGGGCGGGTGTCACGTTCCGACACACTAACTGGAATCGGATGTCACGTACCGACATACATATTGCAATGAGTGTCACGTTCCGACACACTAACTTGGATCGGGTGTCACGATCCGGCACACTAACAATTTGGGTATGGGTTCCATGAGAGGACCATTAACTTGTCATATATACATATTATTGAAATTGTGAAATGGTACATTGCTCCTTAAATGATAACTGATATTGTATAAGTTCGGTATATGCGTGTTTACTATGTTGTGACTGCTTGATATGTTTCACTTACTGGAATAGCCGCGTGATCCTACAATTACACTGTGGTTGTGTACTGATACTGCACTTGCTCTTTTTTTTGTTGAGTACAGGGCATCTTCAGGCGGCTACTGACAGACCTCATCTAGGAGATCAGTGATAAAATCGAATTCAAGGGTGAGCCAGTTCTTCCAGGCTGCCATGAGTTCTCCTTTTGCTCAATCCATTTTATTCTGACTTAGATTAGTACTTTAGATGTTTAGTTATTTTAGCTTTTGGGGTTGTACCCCTTTTTCTTTAGATTTATGGTTTTTTTAGAGTTTTGGTACACTGACTTTCAGTTCTAGGGAATATTTTCGCAATGTTTTGATAGTTGTTTGTTAAATTCACGGAGTTTATGGGAACTCCTTATTTTGTTTCCGCATTTAAACCTGCTTCCGTATCTTTAAATGCATAGTTTTCGGTTAAGTTGTTTAGTTTGGGTTGTAGTAATGGTTCTCCCATTGGAGGGTTAGTGTGGGTGCCAATCACGACGGCCTGAGTCGTGACAAAGATAAAGTTCAAGTCAAGATCAAAATAAAGTTCAAGTCAAGATCAAGTTCAAGATCAAATTAAAGAAAGATCAAGATCAAGATCAATCTAAAGTCCAAGTTCATCAAATATTCAAGAACAAGCTCCAAAGGCCCTTGAATCCAAGATTAAAGTCCAAGAACAAGAACAAAATTCAAGAACAAGCTCAAGAGCTCTTGAATTATATTCGAAAAGGCCAATTCAGAGGAATCATAGAGATTGTAACACTCGCACTTTAAATCAATAAAATGATTGTTGCATAATTTTCCGTTCTTGATTATTATTTTCTCGACGCGAATTTTATTGTCTACACAATAACCTGGAAACATTACTTACAAAACTTGTTTTTCTGGGGTTTTTTTACCCTCCCCTAGGAGCTCCCACCCTTTTGCTCCCTTGGTGACTCGAACTTGCAACCTTTGAGTTGAAATGGAGGGGGTGCTTACCATCCGAACAACTCCCTCTCGTCTTATTTTTCTGTTCAATTAAGTAAGTTATGTTTTTTATTTTTAAAGAATTTTTTTTTTCATAATTCTTGATCAATCGAATATGAAAAAATCGGAGAAAACATTTTTAATACAATCAACTATCAAGCTCACAGTAAGTGTCCTTCCCAATAAAGATGGCAATAATATTTTATGCAAGTCTTTGATAGACAAATGGGCATTTCAATATTTAAACTTGGACCCCACATATGACTAATTAAACCATATTATAATTCAAATTCTTTTAATTATTTAGGTTTTGATCGCATCAAGTTTTTGTGGAGACATAATATTAAAAAATATTAAAATTCTCTACACTTAGGAAGTTTTTTTTGTACAACTCTAAAGCCGTCGGTTCGAGTGATCAAGGTTCTATTATTTTTTCAATTTTAATTTATTTATATTATTTTAACTTGATACAAATTTAAAAAGATAAAAAAAATAAGAATAAAATCTTATAATCTTAAATTAAAGATAGACAAATCTTTTTATAGATACAACATTAGTTGGTTAATTGTGTAGTTTGTATAATAACAACCCTAAAGTCGTCAGTTTGAGTGATCAAGGTTCTATTATTTTCTCTATTTTAATTTATTTATATTATTTTGACTTGATACAAATTTAAAAAAATAAAAAAATAAAAAAAATCTTATAATCTCAAATTAAAGATAACTAAATCTTTTAATGAATACAACATTAGTCGGTTAATTATGTGGTTTGTTTATTATATAATATATAATGATTTCATTTCCCACAGTTAAAAGTACTAGATTTTGCTAAGACATAAGTACTATCTACCATTAAAAAATAATAATACTATGGTCCTTTTTTTTAGATTATTAATTGATTCATTAATTATACGTGCACACAACTGGTATTTTTTGTGCCATTAACAGAAGCACTATAATTGTGGGCGTATCCCACAACACAAAGTACATATATTTATGTATTATAATGAAAAAGTTAAGTTTTATATATATATAGTTACATACTCAATTATTTATAAGGTAATTACATATAAATTTTTATATTATAGCAATAAATCTTAAATGCATGGTATATTAGTTGATAAAATAAATGTAATTTACATATTATTGAATCGTATTAAAATTATAATATAATATATTTTTTTACATGATTTTTATATTAATATATTAAGCACTAGTCCATAAAGGATGGCAAAGTATGACTTATGTTTTGTCCACTAGTTAGAAATGTAGACAAAAAGTATCACCATTATTTTGACTATATATATTTTGAAGTATATCGAAAATAATTTTTTTATTTTTACAAAATAAGAATAAAATTGTATTCATGTATTCCTTTTTAGAATCTCCATATGAAATTAATCGAATATATTATTGTTGTTTGTTAGAGATTATATAAAAGACATTTCTATTGGTTTGATTATTTGGTATCTTTTTCTATAACAAGTATCATCAATTTGACTAATTATTGACAAATTATGCTAAATTGACTTTCTTTTTCATTAAGTTTAGGTAAACCACATGAAAGTACCATCATTAACAATTTTTTCTTCCATCTAAATGCTCAAGGTATACATATTATAGACTTAGAGACAAGGTTCACTTAGTTTAACTACCAAAAAGATAAATATAAGTTCCATAATTTTAATAGTTATAAATTAAAATTAAGGATACCAAAAACCTGTAATGAAATAAAAATGTATGAAACTTTAGAATTTTTTCAATAAATAATATAAGTGTTAATACAATGATCAGCTCCTTAAATTTTTCAATAAATATCATGTGGATGTTTTAATTCTGATTTGTTCTAATCGAGCAAATGAACACATGATAAATGTTCTTATTTGACTCTTTCAATTCAAATTTTGGAAAAAACGCTTGCACGTAATCTCAATTGTCTATTACATAAATAAATTAATCATTTAAAATATGTCATCTCGCTTAATTATACACATCATCCCCAATTGAAACTTGTCTGAGGTTTGATGACTTGTTGAAACTAATTCGTAAAATTAAAGAAGGTAACATATTTTAAGTGATTAACTTATCTACACAATCGTCATTTGAACAAGGAAATCCAAATCAACTCATCAATTTACAATATATAAAATCATTTTATCATCAAATACTCAATTAGAGAAAAACCATAATTCAAATGTCTAAATAAAATTTTGCTCACAAGTTTAAAAGGCTATCAATATATGAAGCTAATAAGATAGTACATTATAATCTTGCATAACTAGTTCGTTTCTCACAAAAACACTTCATTATATATTCAGATATTCAATTAGAGATAAATCACAATTTGTGTATCTAAATAAAATTTACGAACAAATAAAAAAAGCTATCAATATATTAAGCCATTACATTCCGGATTCGCGCCGGTCAGAGCCTCATTTAGGAGGTAGCGCTTTATATTAAGAATTCTTTTATATCTAAAGCTTGAACCCAAAATCTCTAATTAAGAAAGTAGCAACATCATCCACTGCACGTGACGATTTTTCTAACTTACTATAACAATATGTTACTCCCTGTGTCCCAATTTATGTGACACATTTTATTTTTCGAGAGTCAAACAATTTAAGTTTGATTCGGAAATTTGCTCATCACATCTTCAATTTTTTAAAACGAAATATATATATATATATATATATATATATATTTGTAAACTACATAAAAATTATTCTAATTCACAATAATTAACAATAAAAGATATATGAAAAAAATTTCGATCAAAAATAGTCTTATTTGAATCTTGAAATTCGAAATGCGTTACATAAATTGAAACGATGGGAGTAATATGTTAGTAGTATTATATTTAAAAAAAAAGAAGAAAGATAAATAAAGAGAGAGAAAAAGAGGGTACACTTAAAAATAGAAACAAAAAAAAGAAAAGGACAGCTGAAGAAGAAAGGTTAGTCCTTTCTTGTTTTCTGTGTTCTTACGAGAGACAAACCAGGGATTTTTGAAAAAAATTCAGAGAAATAGTGAACCAGAAGCTAAAATTACTGATACCCAATTTGTGGAATTCGAAATCTACAGCGAAAACGAAGCAAAAAAATTGAGCTTTTGAAGTTTCAAATTGGAGACAAAGTTAGGGTTTTTTTTCTGTATTCAGGTAAAGTTTATTGCTTTTTGAAGTTTTTTTAATTAATGCAATTATTTTGGAGTATTGGGTTAATTGGGTTAATCTTGATTGCATCTATTGTGTAATTTTGATTTTTTTTTTGTTGTGTAAAGGTATGATTTTTAGGCATTTTTAGGCTTATGGTAAATGAATTCTTGTCTGGTTTTTGTGTGTTGATTGGTTTATTTTGAGGTTTGGGGGATTTGTTTTTGTATCTTGTTTGGCTCAGCTTGAACTGTTTTAGGGTTTAGGTTTGTTTTCTAGAATTGAAGTGGTTCAAATAGAGGGAAATGGATAGTGAAGATTTATATTGTTTAGCTGAGTGATTTTGATTGAAGTGTTGTTATTGTTTGTGTTAGCTTTTTCTCTGTTTTTGGAAATAATACTAATTTTGTGATTGCTGTTGAGTTATATAGTTGTCCGTCCCCCGAGGATTGTGTAAGGCTTCCAATGGGCTTATAAAGGTCTTGAGCTATTCTGCTCCTTTGCTTAAGGTTTTGGGTTGGATGCTCAAGATTCTTTTACAATTGCCAAGCTATTCAAAATTGTAAATTGGTTTTTCTTTAATTTGCATAACTATCCAGTGGTAAGAACACGGCACATGATGTGTGGGTTAGACGCACATCACGGGTTCGATTCTTTCCACAAACAAAAGCCTAGTGTTTAAATGGAAAAAGGTAGAGGGGTGGAGCCATTACCTTTGAAGTGTGCGCCACTGGCCCGTGAAAATTTCTCGGCTATCAAACAAAAAAATAGTAAAGTGAAAGTTCTATGAACATGGCTAGTTGATCTTATGAACTTCTCGACAAGGCTCAAAACGCGGAAGGATGTGAGAGAGAAAAGGAAGAAGGAATACCATTTACCTATCCTATATTTGCCTGTTCTTCTTTGCAGACTTAACTAGCCAAAAAGTAGCCGGGAGAATAGTAGCATTTTGAACCTAGCAGCAGGAGGTTCAAATTTGCTTCTATGCATTTGTAGCAATCTTAAGTTTGTCAAGAAGCTGAAGATCTGGTTGCCCTGAAGGATACCTACATGTTAGTCTTGAATTTAGATGTTAAGTTAACTCCTACAGACATTTCTCTAGCAAAGACCGAATTTCTGAACCTATTGACAGTGGAGAAAATGTATTCAAATGTTGGGCAGCATGGATATACTTTTGCACTCAGGGTGCTCTACTGCGATTCTTTCCGTTGCTTGAATTGATTGTTACAATCACAAAGAAAAAAATGTCAACTATTGATAATAAGTGCCAAAAGTATTAAGGGCGTTCCATCCCGCATAAACATATGATAATAAACTTTATTTATGGGATTGAATCTCTTTTGTGACAACCACAATTTGGTGTAGGTCCTTTTATTTTTGGTATATACGGTTTGTACATGGGGTTTCCCCAAATGTCAATAAAATTAGTTATCTTACAAAAAAAATTAACTTAAATATTTTTCTTCATTTCATTGTCTTCTGTCTTGTCTTCCAAACTATACAAGGAAAGCAGAAGATAATGAAATGGAGACAAGGCCTAAATAAATATAACGCTAACTGCCATCCTATCTATCATATCAGTTGAGTCGATCCGATTCAGTCTTATCAATAGATAGCACAAATCCTATTTTAATGAAACTTGATGAGTCAATCTATGTACGCATATTTCTTTTACTATTATATCGGGAGTCTTACTCATGATGATGTCAGGTTGGGTGTCATAGAAAGATGTCTGAGGTAGTGGCGGTAAGTTTGAAGGTGCTCCAACCCAGCAAGTAATAAAAAGATATCCCAATTCAGAACTTGGAATACATAAGCTTGGCTGGATATTTCTGGGTATTTAGTCATAAATATCCGTAATTTTGTTTCCTTTATCCAGATTATAGGAAAAGATCCATTTTCCATGCTAGGTTCAACCAAAAAAAATGGAAAAGGGAAAAAGTGATCCTACTTGTCATGCTCACTATGTTTTGCTAAGCTAAGTTAGGACAAGAGTTATTAGAGCATTAACCATACAAAAATTTGGTTTCTTCAATTATCTGGGACTGGAGTTATTAGCAGTGTTATCAAAGGCGAAAAGCTCTAATGTCCACTGGGGCTTTAAGTGCAAAGTGTAAATAAAGCATGAGCTTTAATGAAAAAAGGTGCAAAGGGAGAAAAAAAGTACAAATATATATATTTAGTCCAAGACTAATAAATTATAAACATGAATAACAAATATATGAGCAAAGAAATTGAATTTTTTTTTATGATAAAGTGAAATATCAATGGCTTAGTGTCACCTCTTCAGTAGAGGCTCAATGACAAGGAAAAGTATGTCTTAGAACCTTGATGACGCACTGAAGCACACATAAAGCAAGGTGAAGCGCTCAACACGTTTTGAGCCTCGCTTTAGGGCTTAAGTGCACCTTTGACAACACTGGTGATTAGAGCATGAGCCAATGCAATTTTTTTAAAAGGCATGAGCCAATTCAAAAATTTAACTATTCACATAATCTCTTCAATGCTGTTAAATATTCTACCTTTTTTATAAATACTTTCTGATATTCTATTGTTGGAAAGTATGCATAGACCAATTTTTTTGAAAAAAATCAAATAGTATGAAAAGTAGAACTATCTCCATATATAGAGCAATTCTATTATATATATTAAATAGAAAGGTAATAACGAGGGACAGATCTAGAGTTTCATATACGTGTTCAGGTGAACACAGTAACTTTTGTTCAGAACCTTCCGTAAGTATATATAAATAATGGATTGTGAATCCCGTTATTATTGAATATTATCTTGAGGTTATTACATATACCCATAAAATTTAAATTTTGAATCCATCTCCGATAGTAATAACATTAATGTTAAATAATTTAAACTGACTAGATTCAATTTTCGTTCAACTTTACAAGGAGGAGAAATCGTAATAAATGAAAAGGGAAAGAATATTGTATTGGGAGTTGGGAGTAGCACAATGTATGTCACGTACTAAAACTAAAGTTTTCTTTGGCATATATTAATGAATGTGTCGTTTTCCTCTTAGTTTTATTGTGTTAGTTCACGTTTCTCTTAGACTTGTATAGCATATGCCAAAATTAACTTGTTACATATGTGGGGATTAGTAATGAATCACAAAAAGAAATATTGTGATGCTGGTTGCTTACAATATAATAATAGAATATCAAGTGGGCGGATGCAATACTTAAGTTGAGGGTCTTTCAGAAACAACCTCTCTACCTCCATGAGGTTGGGATAAGGTTTGGCATACACCTCACCCTTCTGGGGTCCTATTTGGTATTTCACTAGGTCTGTTTTTGTTTTGTATATATATATAGAAAAGCCAATTCTTATTAACACTGTCAAAAAAAAAAACTTACCAAGGTGATAATGTTGTTTTAGTTGATGATCACATATCATTGGTCTATAGTTTTTGAAGAAATATCTTTTCCAATGTGTCGGAGTGTGTGGCCATTTCATCTGGAAGTGCAAAGAGACCACACTTAATTATTGAATTATGCTATGTCTCAGCATGCTTATTTACATGTGAGCCTTATTCTTTTTTCATGGGTCAAATACGTGGAAATAATTTTTTTGCTTTTTTGCATGGTGGTGAAATTTGAACCCCGAACATGCCTGCTCTTATAACATGTGAAAAGAATGGACATTGGGCCTTACTTAATTCCAAAAGGTAGCTCATGAGGAGGTGAGGGTTGCTTTAAACCATAGAAAGAGGATCCTCACCTCTCCTTGTTTTGATGTATAGCGAGGCCTGGGCATTGAGGGAATGAGTTGTCACTTTATATGGTCTTGGGTAACTATCACTTTATGATATAGTTTTTTGTTGATTGAGTCAGGTCCTAGGTTCATGTAATTGATATGATGTTAATTGTTGGGAATAAAATGAAATAGTCGGATTTACTATTTACAACAGTGTCTTATCTGTTTGGTGATGCAGGAGCTCTTGAGGCATAAATTAGTGTTGCCACTTTGTAGGACTATTGCAGTGTTATCAAAAGCAAAGAGTGCAAAAAAAAAACTCTAAGCTGCTTTGGGGTTTTAAGCGCAAAACGCAAATAAAGCGTTGACTTTAATGGAAAACGGTGCAATTGGGGGAAAAATTCAAATTATGTATGTGTAGTCCAAGATTAATAAGCATTAGCTTGAATAACAAATATATGGGACAAAGAAATTGAAAAAGAATAATGATAAACAAAAATATCAATTGTTTAATATCACATCTTCAGGATTACTCTCATTGGCAAGGAAAAGTATGTCTTAGAGCCTTAATGGCAACATTGAAGCGCCCATAAAGCAAGGCGAAGTGTTCAACATGTTTTGTGTCTCGCTTTAGGGCTTAAGCGTGCCTTTGTGAACATTCGACCATTCATGCCTTCTGTTTGCTTTATTTGAATGTTTTTTTGTTTAATAAAGGCAAAATTGATGCAACGTTAAGAATTAACATTCCTTTGTATCTCCCAATGATGTTTAAACAACTAGTTAGTTCTCAAGTAGAAGGTCATGTTAACAAATCTTCGTGTCTATTAGATCTATTGAACTAATATTTTGGATCAATTTTCAATGTTTTTTTGCAGGTGGAGGTTGCTGGATATTCCTTTTCTTTATCTTTTTCAGATATCATGCAAGGGGTAGATGTTACAAGAATCACTTTACATCTTGGAAGTCCTGATTTGTGAGTTACTATTACATTATGAAACTCGAGGACTTCTTTACCTTGACTGAGATGAGTAATGGGCTCACAACTCCTTCTCGAGTCCAGGATCTAGTCTCCATAATGCAGAAGGAAAGAGAGTGTGATGTCAAGAATGCTGGTGAAACAACAAAGCAGTGGTCTGCTGTTGCAAGCACGATAGCTGCAACTGAGAATAAAGAATGTCTTGAACTCTTTATCCAGCTAGATGGACTCAGCTTTATTCAGAGTTGGTTACGGGATGCTCTAAGATTTGGAAATGAGACAGGTGAGTACTTTGTAGATGAATCAATTAGTCATTTGATTGATCTTTTACTGCGAGCTGTTGAAAGGCTGCATGTAGATGATAAGAAGTCTGTATCTTCTGGAATCTGGCTGACTGTGAAGAGCCTCCTTGGCCACAATAATTCTAAGGTGCAAGAGAGGGCTAAGACATTATTTGATAGTTGGAATAAAGGGAAAGACGACTGTATGGTTTCAGTGGGTATTGAAAAAGTACAAGCATCTATTGATGATAAAACAAGAGATACTGCGAATCTCGTTGGGGAAAATGGGCTGTCTGAACCGTCGTCTGTGGAAGGAGGTTCTGGAGAAGAAAAGACCAAGGAACATGTTGGCAATAGTAAGATACTGTCTTCAAGGTCTGATATCCATCAATCTAGGGTTGGAGATACCGCAACATCCGACCAAAATTTAGAGCATACACACATGAAGGATGCGTTTCCAGGCTCTTCTTTGTCAAATTCGGTTACTGAAGGTCACAAGGTTGAACACCCGACACATCAGGCAGAGTGTGCCACCAATGCTATTGATACGTCAAATACGTGCACTTCTATAGTATTGAGACCTGGTCCTGCTGATGAACAGACAGATGTTCCTGTTTCAGATTCAATTAATCACTTAAGTCACATTAAAGAAGTCGGAAGTTCTGAGAAATTCAACTCCGCAGTGTCTAAATCATTGGAAGACAGAACTATTTCTTTAGTTACTGATATCAGAGAAGCTTTGGATGCTATTGCTGGATCAGATTTACAAAAACAAACTGATGTCTACAACGAAAAGAGTTGTAGCGGAAATTCTACTTTTGGTGATGTCTCAGTGGCTGTTCCCGAGGGAAAGACACCGGTGGATGATAGCAGACCTGAAAATCATGGCAGCAGCAAGATAGTGCTTGAAGCTACAGAAAACAGAAAGTGCAACAATGACATATTGCAGGACTCCGACAAGCATAATCTGGAACATCCCGTAGATTCTGTTGTTGATCAGGCTGACAAACACACTAGCGACAACAGTGAGGACAAACACACTAGTGACAACAGTGAGGATGATATGGAAAATGAAAGTGAATTTCAAGAAGCAGGAAAAGGAGGTAGAGACCATGGTGTGTTTGGCAAGAAAAGTGATATTGATTTTGACTATGGCATCATGGATCCTTTAGAATTAGCTAGACAAGTTGCAATAGAAGTGGAGAGGGAAGTTCAGAGTTGCAGTTCTTCTGAGAAAATAGAGGAGAGTAAAGTTCATGAGCCTGGTAGCCCAGATTCTAGTAGTGCAAAACAACGCCAAAAAAGGTTCGAGTGCTCTAACAAGGAAGTATCAAGAGGAATGGCTCCTTCGACTGAAGCTTCACTTGCAAACTCAGAAGCTAGACCAATCAATGGAACTGTGAAGGTGGAATCTTCTCAGGTTGTTGATGCCACTTTGGATCTTGAAACCAACGTCGACAAAGTTCTGTGCACTTTTGATCTGAATCTAGAGGTTTGCTCAGATGATATAGATTGCCCAGGAAATCCAATCTCCAGTTCTGTCTCTGTTGTTTCTGCTTCAAGGGCTGCAGCTGCCTCTGGAGTACCTGCTACTCCCTTACAGTTTGAAGGAACTCTTGGATGGAAAGGATCCGCTGCAACAAGTGCTTTTCGGCCTGCATCACCTCGCCGGATTCCTGGAGGTGAGAAGGCTGTTTCCTCTGGCGGGAATGCCAGCAGCTCAAAGCAAATGCAATGTTTCCATGATATTGATCTGAATGTATCTGAAGGTGGAGATGATAGGGTTGCAGACCTTTTTCCTGAAAAGAAAGTTTCACTATCATCTGCTCTTCCTCTAGGGAAATCTTCTCGTGAAGCCAGTCCAAGAAAATCGGAAATGTTAGAGTGGGATCTTAACTGTGCAAGTGAGGAGGGTGAGGCACCATCTGATTGGCGGATGGAGGGATCACTCTTGTCTCTGAGGAATGGTCATCCGAGCCAGTCACCTTCATCATCATCATCATCAAAGCAGCCTTCATTAAGGAACTTTGATCTAAATGACCAGTCATCTTTTCTCAATGATTTCTCAAATCTGAACAACTTCAAGAAACCACCTCAGAATTCTAATGCATCTGGTGGAATAAAATCAGGTGATACTGTTGTGTCCATCATGGGCGTGAAGGTAGAGGTCAACCGTAAAGATTATGCTGCTCAGTCTTTTCCTTTTCCAAATGGTAGGGTAGCGGAAAACGCTGTTGAGCATAATGTTGCAAGAGGTGGAGGAGTTTTAGGAATGGGATCTCCATTTCAATATACCCCTCTTCCTGCTTTTGGTTACAGTGGCATTGCTCCAGTTCCTCCCATGGCTTTCTCCTCATCAATGTATGGACCCAGTGGTCATATTCCTTACATGGTGGATTCCAGGGGGGCTCCTGTTGTACCTCAAATTGGCGGATCTGCTTCAGCAATACCACCATCTTTCTCCCAACAATCATTCATTTTAAACATGGGAAGTGCACCTGTTCCCAACGGAGTTTGGCCATCACGAAGTGGTCTGGATCTCGACACTGGCTTAGTACTTGATCGTGGGAATAAAGACACCGGAGGTCTGAGGCAGCTTTTTGATCAAGGACAAGCTAGAACGATGGATGAACACTTCAGGATGAACATGCAACCCTCAACCAGTTTGAGTATCGGTGGGAAACGCAAAGAACCAGATGATGGCTGGGAACCTTCCCCTTTCAAACATCATCCACCACCATGGAAGTAAACTTCAATTTGTTATCCCAGTCGTTAAATCATTTACCGGCCAGTGTCTTGTAGCAGTAGGTAAATTAAAGGTAGAAGGAGGGGGTCTATATTGATTTAAACTGGGAGGGAGGCACAATATAGTTGAATAAAGACAATTTCTGAATGTAATATGATTCTTGACATTACTTTAAGAATAGGTGCAAAAGTTTACTTGTTCAGCATGTTTCTAACTTGTTTATTCTGGGCCTTCTGGTCACATTTCTTAGGTATTTGCTACTAAGCAAGCTTACATGTAACTGTAATTCTCATTTACACCAAAAGAAATTTAGAAGAATGTCTCTGTTTCATCTGTATTCATTTTCAAAGATACTCGGGGCTCGGAATCCAGACATGTGGTTAAGAGAGAAGCAGCCTCATAGATGTCTGTTTAGACGTACCTTTTTAGTTTTTGTCTTTTTTTAGAAAATAGACATCAATTTTTTAAACAAAATTTATAGCCATCATCAGTTCTTATTTATAATTTAGAACTATTTGAAAAAAACAACACAACATAAACATAATAATAATGTTTATAAGATGAATGATCAAATTAAGGGCTAAAATTACTTTTGCTTCAAATGTTGGATGAGACATAGTAAAGTGTGTGTGAGAACTATAGATCACGAGTTTGAGCCATGCAACAATTATTAATGCTTGTAAGTTGTAGTAGTGTAACATGTCTAATTCCTCCGTCATTCATAGAAGGAAAAAAAGAAGATAAATATACCCTCAAATTATCGTAAATGGTATGTAAATACCTTCCGTCATACTTTTGAGACATTGGTGTCCCTGCCGTCCAAAAACTAGAGCATATATGTTCTTCCCTCTAACGGAAAACTAAATAGAGACATATGGCGCAATCTTATTCATTGATTAGATATTTAATAAATGTCGCGTCGGTCGATAATATTATGTCACGTGTATGTCTGCTAGCATAAAGGGTGACGGCAGGGGCACCAATGTCCAAAAATATGACAGAGGGTATTTACATATCATTTACGATAGTTCGAAGGTATATTTATCTTTTTTTTCCCTTCATAGAATAACTTATTTCTCAACCAAACGAGCTTTTTGACGGTGGCCACGTGGGCCTTTGTCCCTATCGATCAGGCAAGCGGTTTCAATTCGTCCGCATTTTTGTTCCGTCGCCTCATAACCACTCTTCTCTGTTTTTCACAATATTCTCTTTATTTCTTCGCATTTTCTTTCCATTTCCATTCTAAACAAAAGCAAAAAAAAAAACACGAAATGAGAGAAATCTTACACATTCAAGGAGGGCAATGCGGGAACCAAATCGGTTCAAAATTCTGGGAAGTTATATGTGATGAACACGGCATTGATCCAACGGGACGTTACAATGCTGGTAATGCAGGTGCATCTGATCTACAACTTGAACGGATTAATGTGTATTTCAATGAAGCTACTGCTGGTCGTTTTGTACCTAGAGCTGTTCTTATGGATCTCGAACCCGGTACTATGGATAGTATTAGATCTGGCCCTTCTGGACAAATTTTTCGCCCTGATAATTTTGTTTTTGGACAATCTGGTGCTGGAAATAATTGGGCTAAAGGACATTATACTGAAGGCGCTGAGTTGATTGATTCTGTTCTCGATGTTGTTCGTAAAGAAGCTGAGTATTGTGACTGCATGCAAGGTTTGCAATATTATTTTTTTGCTTCCAAAGTTTAGATATTCGAAAACTATGTGAAAAATGTTGCAATTCTTCTCATATTTGGTAAAATCATGTAGTTTAATATCGAAAAGTGAAATGTGTTTCAGTAAAAGTTTTGATGGATAGATAATGAAATAATTGGCTGTTTGATGTTAATCACCTGTGGCGACAATGATAGCTATAATGCTTATAATTATGGATAGAGTTTGTTCGTATGATGCCTGAATGATTGTATGCAAACGTATAAAATAGTATTTGTCTCTGTTAATGTACATTCACAGATGTATAGTATTTGATAAGATATGTAGTTTAAGAAAATATAAGAAACATTTTGGACAAAACATATGGAAAAGTTGTGGCATATTTATGATCTAAAATGCACCTTCATGGTGAGACACGTCCAAAAAAAGAGCTGGGCTTATGATATATGATGCATTTTCCTTCTTTTTTTCAGTAAACGATCTGAATTAACGCTGGAAAGTTGGATTCGATCACCTTGTCTTTTATACTGTTGAAATTAATCAAGGATCTTACTGCCTAGTGTCTTTTCTCAAAACTTATAGTACAAAATTTGAATGTTATATCGAAAAAACCATACAATGATCCATGATTTTCTGGAGATATGAACGCCTAAGATTTGTAGAACGAGAATCTCTCACATCGACCACACTTTGATTTTTTATCCATTTTAGGGGTTCCCACAAATGCTTTAGTCTTTTCTGAGTCTTTGAACATAAATGAATTTTAGAAGGATTGTATTTATCTACATTTTAAATTTGGGCCTCTGTTTATTTTATTTACAATCTTCGTTTTTTGTTTTATGAGCCAGGATTTCAGGTTTGTCACTCACTTGGAGGAGGGACTGGTTCCGGCATGGGAACTCTCTTAATTTCAAAGATAAGGGAAGAGTATCCAGACCGAATGATGCTCACCTTCTCTGTTTTTCCATCTCCAAAGGTTTCAGACACTGTTGTCGAACCATACAATGCTACACTTTCTGTGCACCAATTAGTAGAGAATGCTGATGAATGCATGGTCCTCGACAATGAAGCCCTCTACGACATCTGTTTTAGGACTCTAAAGCTCACTAATCCAACTTGTAAGTTCCTCTCTTTGATATTAACTTAAATGATCATACTCTTTTCATTTTAGAACGTTCCAAATGTATCGCATCATTCCTAAAATAACGGAGTATTATTACATTTAACCTTCTAGCTCAAACTTTATTACAAAAAGGGCAACAAAATGGAATTTATTAATTCTAAATCCTGATGTAAAATCATCGAGTTTAGTTAAGCAACGTTATATAAATTGATAGTTTGATACGAATGGAGTATCCTTTTTGTTTGCAGTTGGTGACCTAAATCATTTGATATCTGCAACAATGAGTGGTGCTACATGTTGTCTGCGATTTCCCGGTCAGCTGAACTCAGACTTGAGAAAATTGGCTGTGAATCTAATCCCTTTCCCACGTCTTCATTTCTTCATGGTGGGATTCGCACCACTGACATCTCGTGGATCACAGCAATACAGTTCCCTCACAGTTCCAGAGCTTACACAACAAATGTGGGATGCTAAGAACATGATGTGTGCAGCTGACCCTCGTCATGGGCGTTACTTAACAGCATCTGCTATGTTTAGGGGGAAAATGAGCACTAAAGAAGTAGATGAACAAATGATCAATGTCCAAAATAAGAACTCGTCGTACTTTGTTGAGTGGATCCCTAACAATGTGAAGTCTAGTGTGTGTGACATTCCACCAACTGGGCTTAAAATGGCATCCACATTTATTGGCAATTCGACATCCATTCAAGAAATGTTTAGGAGAGTGAGTGAGCAGTTCACGGCCATGTATAGGCGAAAGGCATTTTTGCATTGGTATACTGGGGAAGGAATGGATGAAATGGAATTTACTGAAGCTGAGAGTAATATGAATGATTTGGTTGCAGAATATCAACAGTACCAAGATGCTACTGCTGAGGTTGAGGAAGATTTTGATGACGGCGTTGATGAGCATTACGAAGGTCAATGACTTTTCAAATTTTTGTATTACTACTCAGAGGCGGAGCCAGAATTAAGAGTTTGGGGGTTCACTGATAGGGGTTCATAGGTTAATATACATATATATATTTAATTAGTTTTCTAGTACAAATACAGGGTCTACGGAAAAGCTACTGTGTTTGACCGAACCCATGAACCCCTATACTACATCTTCATTTATTTTCTGTTTCTGGATTTGTTATTGCTTATGTTTTTTTTTTTTTAGCTTTTTTATTGTACTTTGGATGAACTCTGTGTTATTTGTTCTTTTGTGAATGAAAAAAAAAATACAATAAATGATTTAAAACGAATTACACCAAATCTAATTATCTATTAAACCAGATGATCTCTTAGTTTCAATTCTTTTCATCCTCCTTTTTCTCCTTGCTTCTGAATATTGGGCCTTTCTTTCAGCAATATTAGGCATACCAATTATTGGGCCTGTATAGCTCAATCCATTAGTAGATGAGAATATGGGCTGTGCTTGTGGAAGTTGGCCCATTTCTATTGGGCTTGTATGGTTCATAAAGCCCAATTGTGGCAGTTGGCCCATTGGGTATTGTAACATATGGTTGGTCTCTAGTTCTTGTCTGTTTAAGTTCGTCATTACCTGTAATTAGCAAGTAATCAATGCAACATTTAGTAACGTCATAATAAAATTGTATTTGATTATACTTTTTGTAAGAAAAATAATTTAAAATAATGTTCATGTTTGAGTGTAATTAAATATAACTTTAAAAGTGAAAAGCGAGATGGAAAACAAGTTATAAGTTGTTTACTAAATTTTGAAATACAACTTCAAGCTGAATTAAAATTCCCATGGTCAAACACTGATTTCAAATAAAAAGTGAAAAATATGGAGGATTTCATTAGTTACCTTTTCTCTCATTGCTTTTAACTCAACATTGTAAGCATTTTGTTTGTTATTATAACTTTGTACTATCTCCACCTCCTGTACAATTACGGCAAAGAAAAAGAAGTTTTAGACAAAAGAATTAGGAAGGAGTAAACACATGACCAAAATAAAGAAGAAGAAAAAGAGTAGACTGATGAACTAAGCATCACGTATTAGTAGAGTTTGGGAAAGGGACGCAGTCTGAGGGGTGTGATGAGACACAATCTATTGTAATACAATAATTAGTGATTGTTTTCACTGCTTAAACATATGATTTATAAGTTACATGGAGATAATAAAAGAGAGGATAAAAAAGAGTAACCCAATGAACTAAGCATTCCATGTTAGTAGGATTTGAAGAAAGACCGCACCTCCAAGATTGTGTTTAATGCAAAATATTAATGACTATTTTCACGGCTCAAACTTGTACTCCCAAAAAACAAGATAATTTTGAAAAATAAAAACATATTTTTTATTAAATAATTTACAAACTCACTCACCCGTCTTAGGGATTCTCTACATCGAGTCAACTTCTCTATATTACGCATCAACTTTTCTCTTATCTGCATAGGCAAGAATTCAAACAAAAATTGTATATTCTTTGTTCTAATTTATTTAATATCGTAAGTTTGAATGTTAAAGT